CGGTTTATACTCAAAAGATGGAATACTGATACAACACAGACGCAATACCGATAATATATATATATATATATATATATATATATATATATATGATAACATATAATATAATGACTCACGTACAATGTATATCGTTGGATTAGAATCAGTCAGTGCATTTTATGCATGAGTATAAACCGATAGACCACAAATGTCTAAATAAAAAGATCAGAAATGGTTAACCAACCTGTTCGCTGTTGTCCCTAGCAGTCTGTAGGCTTTCCAGCTCTGTATTCAGTTGTGCCTCCAAAGCAGGGATATCTGTTTTGCGTAAGTGTTCAAGCTTTTTAGGCGAGGTAAAGAAAGCAAAAATGAACCAGGTGAGACACATTGAAGTCATCTTTTTTTACTTTCGCCCTGAGATGGTGTAAGTTAAGCCACAAAACTTGGTGGAATCGTCATGATGTGATATTTTTTCACGCAAACACGCTGAAGCACAAGAGGCGAACTGTTGCCCGGTCGCCAATGGCTGAACAGGAGCTCAAATAACTCAAGTTCTTTTGTTCAGTCGCACCGCACAAAATGACGCTCAGTGAGCAAATCGAAATCAAACAACTTGGTCTTTAGGGGCATTTTCTGCCCAGCTAGGACAAACTAACAGGTACTGTATAAGTGAATAACTGTATTATTCTATGAACTCCTGTTAACGGCATTCAGATGCATAGTAGCCTAAGCTCTGTCTGTTGCCACCAGTGGCGAACCTGAAATTCAGTTCTGATTGTCATTGGTTTGTTCACTGAGCTGAGCGATTTGTTTGCAAGCGTTTCATAATCAATCGAGGTGACATCAGTAGTGCGTTGTTAGAGAACGTAGTGGGGCGTAGCGATGGGCCGGTGGTTGTCACAATCACAACTGTTGGGAAATAATCAGGTTTCTAGACCAATCTGTCCATGAGCCCGTGGATCACTCGGAATGAACCAAATCCAGGGTCATCATAAGCACAGTGTATGATCATATTAAATACATTCGGGTAAAACTCACTTCTGAGTAGATCGGTCGGAGCTCCAGCAACGTCTCATGTTGCGTCACCAGCTGAGCAAGCTCAACTTTTTTTCGCTCAAATTCGCCGGGCATTGATTCGATGCGTTGGTTCATCTGAAACACGAAAAGGGAAGGACAAATTTGACTCATAACACTTTACGCGGAGAACAGGAAATGCGCTGAAATGCCATCACCGTACGTTACAGCAAATGAAGAGCATGGGGCAGTTTACCTCGGTCAGAAGTTCGTCCTGCTCTGAACGGTCTGACAACTGCCGATGGCAGACGGGACAGTCCGGATCCGAACGTGCCAAACGATCCCGAAATTTACACCATAGATAGAGACTTCCCTGTTCATTCGCACATTCTCTGGAAATGAGGAAGAGTTATAAATAATTTGCACTCTGGTGATATCTGTAATTAGGTTGATACTACTTACGTTGACACCATTTAGAACCTAACCGGAGGCCAGGTATACGAATAACTTACTCTTCTAGAAGTTTCCGTCTCTGTTGTAACCTCGACAGGCACTGTTCCAAATCAGCGGAACCCGCTGCGCTGAGGATGCGTTCTGCCATTTGATCTGCTTGTTTTTGCTTTCCTTGTAGTTGCGATCTGGTGAGAAGCGAATGGTGGACCGTAACTAATGTGATTTCGAATGATACAAATGTGATTAGGCTTGATAAAAGAACACGGTGCGCGGTCTAAATGCGAAGTGCATAGCAACGATCTATGCTGTCCGATGGATAGATCAGAGATTCGGCTGACACTGTCTAATCACCTGAAATAAGCGATATTATGGTCACAAAAATAACACACACAATGCAAAAACGGAAGACGACCTAACTCAGCAATAGTAGTCGATTACTTTCCCGAAAACATCACAAGTAATAGACTATTGGCAACCATCTGGTTAGAGCCACTGTTTCGGGGAGTCAGCAGTTGCGTTTCCAGTGAGCGAGAGTTCATTTTGACCCTCACTAAAACAGAATACTCTCAAAAGGGGACCAAAATCACTTTTCCCGAGATATCATCTCTTCAGGAGGCTGCTGTATCAAGCTGTTTCTCTTAATGCTCAGTTGTTTGTTCCACCGTGCATCCCTGGCTATGCAGTCACATGGTGGCGGCAATGTCCGCCATAGGAGAGAGAAAGCGTCCAAACCAGACACATAGATGCAGTCCCGAAATATCGTGACTGAGGCAGTGTCAGATGCATGGGGTTTATCTTACAAATGGTGTCCTAGACACGTGTCCTGCCTAACAGTAACCTCCACGATTTTTATGTTTGGGCGGGGTTCCAAAGAGTTATAACTGTCATATCCGCTTCCAAGCCTCAAAGTCATCCAGCCTTTAATATGCTTTTCTGTGGGCGTTTGGCCACCAAGACAAAACAGCGAGGCAAGACAGAGTGCCTACACAACTGCTCTTCCTGCTCCCCACCACCTGTGACTGCGCAGTTCTCCCAAATAGAAAACACTTTCATCGAGTAGAAGTTCCTGGCAACATAAGGTGATTTGCCATTAAGGAAGAAAACCCAGGAGGAGCCGTTTAAAAGAAATAGTTGATTAACTACCTAAGAGAGATCACAACGGATACACATTCTGGTAAACTGTCAGTTCGGACGGCTGATGTCCTAAGCACGATCCTGTAAATCAGTGGACTTCTTGAGCACACCTAACTTGACCTGAGCCTTAGTTTAGCCCAGGATACGAGCACAGTACTATAGGATGGACGACATCCTCAATGCAGTGAGCCTGAGGTGCAAAATAAAGCAACACATGATAACCAAACACTCACTGATGCTGTAATTGACCACTGCATAGGAATACACCATGATACATTACATCACTTAGTGGGTCTGATTCGAGTTTAGTTTCGTAGCAGAGGGATCTTCTGTTCGCAATTACTTGAGTGACATGTTTTGAGGACAATCACGCAAGTTCACTGTGCTGGCCTGATGCCACTCATGGACATGCGAAACATTCATCCCCGAATAAACGAAAGATGGTGTTGGTGAAGAAGACGGAGATAGGATCTCACTAGCCAACCCCTCCCCATGAGGAAGCATCCACAAGACAAGCCATCGGGGAAGAGTACTGCGTTGGTAAATCCACCAGCGGACTCATAAAGCATATTTCAGTCTAACTATTCACTAGGACCGAAACAACGTCACTGGAAGACACTACTCACAGGGCTGCTGAAAACTTACGATGGATTCCACCCTTACTGGGAGTCTAGGTCCAATCACCGAGTTTCCGCCAACCTTTGGTTTCAATGGGACCCAAACTTAACACAATTAGCAAAGCAGACTGGTCTGCAAATGATTCGGTTTTAATGGGAAACTCAACTAAGGACGCCTTCGTGAAGCACATCCGGTTGAAGAATATAATAAACGATATATCCAGCTGAGTTTCCAGTTGAGACCAAATCAGTTTGCAAATGAATGCATTTCGCGAACTCTCAAAATTTTTACTCAACCAAGGTTGGCGTACTGGGTTCATCCCTATGACATTTCCATCAGAGTGGTTAGCTGAAACATTAGTCCTTAGAAGACGGACGGCAAAACTAAACGAAGCAGGTCAGTGAAGGACTGAAGCACAGGACGATAGGTAGACGACCGGATAACTGAAGCAGTCCAGCAGTCAATCGAATTAACAGAGAAATCAGCAAGGAACTGATGAATGCAAAGAAACCATAGGATACAGTCTTGGGTGGTTGGTTCAAGAAGTTTGGTATCTCCACAGGAACGTTCGTTAGAGCGAGTTCGGAGCTGTGAACAATGAGGAAATTTAACAAACGCACAACATATAAGTGAGAGTAAGAGGCAACCTCCAGTTCGATGACAGAAAATGAACCTTACCGAGTGAACTTTGTCTTCGTCTCCAGCACAGACTTCTCTTGTTCATATTTGGCAAGGCGTTTTCTTGCCTCCCGTGTACTCTGCTCCAGTGATGACAATCGGGTCAAGAAGGAATGACGTAGTCTGTCTTGAATGGTGGTGGTCTGTTGGGCACGTCCCTTCGAGCGATCAAGTGCGACTGCGATATCAACTTCTGAGATAATTGTAGGAACGGAATTGGTTCCAAAGACCTGTTCTAAGGCCTCGAGATGTCGACTGCGTCTACCATTGACAGAGAATGCATGACACAATGATTAGGTAACACAAAGTGGCGGCATAAAATGGATGAACCAGTTTTTGTGTTGCAAATATTTCGCTTTTGGCGGAAATTAGGAGCAAAATGTACGGCATAGAATCTTTGTGAATGATATGAATACAGAATAGAATGAGTTAATGGGAAAAATAGCAATGAAAAGACTTACATTTTGCGGGCTGATTCGAATTTGCTGTCGCGATCTTTCCTAAGGACGTCCAGTTGCTGGCGTTGTGAGGAGTTTTGTTGCAACATTGCAATTTTCTCACTTGCAGCAGTTATGACGAAAATGAAACCGGTTAGCATGTCCGGTGACAATGTTGTGAATAAGTGAAAAAACTACATTCTGCTGATTCTGAGCTGCAAACTGATAAGCACACCCGAGAGAACGCCACCAATTCGTATGTTTTGATCGTGAAATGGCACAAATAAAACCGGAGGAGAAACGAAGATCTGATAATCCCCTAACAGGTAATGAATAAGTTAAGCTCGGTTTGTTTGCTCTTCCAGCGCTTCTTCTGTAGAGTTTGTGTTTAAAATAATTAATGTTATTTTTGGGTGATCGGTTACGAAAACTCGGTAGATGATCGTGAAGACAAGAGTAAACATTGGGGGGAATGCGAAAGCTAGTGTCTCGAACTTTTATACTGCGCCACGCAGGCGATTCAGAATAACGATAGTGAACGTTTATGCCCATCGTCAGCAACAAGTTCAACATGGCCAGTTGTAATATTCGACATTATGAACGATTTTTCCATCTTTTGGATTTTATTAACCGAGTGCTAAATCCTGGACAGCCCCAACTGCTCCACTTATTACGTAGCCTGTTACGGTGGTGGTAGTCCACTAACTGCTGAACTTCAAGAATTGGTTGAGAGATCTTTCGTTCAAGGTAGACGCACCTCTCTTCAGGAACCTACTTTGTCTAGATACTTGGGATCAGATCGCTGTACGGCATCTTTTTGTTTGAACTACGTATCAAAACTTGGAACGGTTGAGGTCAGAGGTAGATTTATTTTCTGGAAATTTGTTACGCTTCACTGAGACAACCAAGATTACTTTCCTGACAGACAAGCAGTTCCGCACAGGAAACATCAGCAGAGTCACCCCATTGTGGTCTATAATCTTAAACAAATAATGTACACCAGACGATTAAACGCTCGCCGTGTCTTGGCCTGCGCCAAACGAAAGGTATTAGGTGAACGAAATAAGATCGGGGATGTAGCTGAAACTGTCGGCTAGTCATAGAGAAGTTATTTTCTCTCCATCTTCGAACAAGAACATCGTTTCCGACGGTGTTGTCAAAACCTTACCGACGGGAAGCACATCCACAAAAAACCAGAAGTTGACGTAGATAGCAGAAAAGATCAAACCTCACAAGACCGCTTTCATGCCTAATCCAAATATGAATTCAGGTATTTACTCATCTGGTTGTGTTTGTGTCACCGTAAAATCTGAGTAAGGTTGAGTTGTGCCTGTTGCTACACCGCGGCTTTTGATTAGTGATTTGTATGATAAGGTATTCAGTGCGACAAAGGCTCTCCAAAGACTGCTTGTTCGCAGGAATGCGTCGGGTGGTTTGTGTCGGAGTCTGTCAAATTTGGCAGCTCACATATTCCACGCACTGAGGCATGAACTCGTTCGCCATTACCTGTGTCTCAATAACAGCTGTGGCCTGGGCGGGCAAACCTACTACAAAATTCGTCTTCTGACGAGTGCGATTACATGGAGTACGAAGGTGTCGATGGAAACGGTGTTATTAATCTCTGGCGTCGCTAAAACATGTCGGTAGTTAAAGATTCACTGACATGTCAGTCAGAACATAGCTTCTGGCTTTCATCTATGAAGCACATACCAAGTAGCAAGCAGCATAAAGACAGTCCAAAACATCGTCAGGCAGCAAGTTCTTTAGAACCGAATTAGGTACATAACGGGCGATGGGAAATAATTGTCCTGTGTGCAAAGGGATGTGGCAGAACGAATTAATTGTCACCTTAAACATCTTGACATCCAGAGTCTTCTGTTCAGTCATGGATCTATTTGCTGTCTCACGCGTCCCGTCTCAAGATCTACTCGATAAAAATGTTTTGACTTCAGCTATGTACCTTATCACAATCCGATTTGGTAGTGCAGACCCAATAAGTTTCTGTCCCAGTCCTGGGATATGCCAAATGGATCTGGCTTGCTTCTCATTTACTAAAACACTCCGGAGCCACCTCAGGCAGTTCCTATTGAGCTCGATTGAAAATGAGAAGTGACGTCCAGTTAAACCTGGATCTTGAAACCAGGCAGCTTATGATCGTTATGATATTGTTCTCAATTGAAGAACAGCTCTAAGATTCAATATAAATTCCTGAAGGAAATCGCCAAGTGAGCGAATGAGTCAACATATTTTAGAAATAAGAAACTGCTTCCATACCAGTGGAAAACAGGATATTTAATTCCTTCGAAATCATATAAAACACAATTTTGGCCATGGACTATGTTCAGGAATCACTGCTTTGCAATCGGATAACATGTTTCAGGAGAAGCACGAGGAGTGGACCTTTTGGACTAAACCAATGTGTAAGTAGCAGGGTGCCTGTGGGTGAAATTGCCTATTTCTCCGAGTCACCGATACCATGATAATTTGAACGACTATTTACAAGTAATGTCAGTGCTTCAAAATACCAACAAGATTCAACCTATGCAGAGGCTAGTACGTGAAACGTACGCGAATTCTCAAGTCAGTTTGACCGAATGAAAATATTTGACCCGGGCGACAAATCCGGTCGATCGTTCAAATGTTCAAGGACCTCTGCTTCAGATGTCTGATGTCCTCGCTAGATTAACCAACACGTTCGAAGCTCAGGAGTTTAACTTAGATGCAAATAAGAAGGTAAAACCTAAAGGGAAGTGATCGAATTAGGTAGAACCCCACCAACTGAGCATCTGTACAACGTTCAGGGTATTTGGGATGAGGTGAATCCGAATGATGGTTTTTGCAATGTGGAGAGTGATGGAAGCTCATAGCCAAATCACCACGAATGTGTGCCACTTTTACGGAGGAACCAAATAAACTTGAGTGAGCCTACTATAAGCGGCTAATGCGTTTCGCCCAATAAATCACCATCATCAAGTGCGTTTTGTGCAGTAAAAGGGAGATACTCCAGGACAGTTGACCAAGTCCCTACCAAGGATCCTCGTAATTGCTCGGACACTGGGCCCCAAGGAAAGTGGGGGATCTCTGGAGGGTTTCAGTTATTTTCCATCAGACAGCTGACACGTCAATTACGCCCACACTACCTGTTAAAGAGCTGAGCCTGCTACCAGAATCCTACGATTTCAAGTGACAGGATTTGAATCAGGGCTTTCAGAGTTTGTTTTTAAATGCAGTGACTGAAAAGGCCGCACATGGGTTACTGTGACACACACGATTTTAGGTTCGGTTATACTCAAATAAGCATTGGATTGGAGTTTAAAGCTTGACGACATCAGCTTCCGTGGCAGATAAGATAACTCTCTTCCACGTCAATTTTTTTGAGGAATGGAGAATAGTAAGGGAAAAAGCGCTTCCCTCTGAGACATCTTCCTTTATAGATGGATCTACATGTATTGGGGTAACACGTAAAATGCACAGGGCTTAGCTGGCTTCAATGTCCCTTTGGTTTGAGACTCACTGGATTCTTTCCAAATAAACTTACTCCAGTGTTAGCAAAGATTGTTCAGTAGCCTTCCGAACTTCGGAGAGATGTTGCAGTTGCTCGCGTGTATCTTTCAACTCGCTGCTGGTGCACAACTGGTCGACATGAGCCTCCTGAAGTGAACATGAAAGGGAATGATGGGGATTCCTCCCGCAGAAAAGCCACTTTTTTAATCTAAAGAAAGACACAAGGCACTCAACACCATATACAAGTTGCAAATGAAAGGACGCTGGGAAATGGCGGGAAAACGTGTCGGGAAAAGTGGTAGAGATACCACTCTGGGTAGGAGCAACCTCCGACTTACTGAGAGTGATCGACTTATCAGCGGACAGACACTAGTGACAAAATAACTTACTGCATTCAACAGTTCATTTCTGACACTCTCCATCTGCGAGATGACTGACTTGGCATTTTCCACACGTCTTTTCAGCGAAGTTATTTCAGAACGCGTCTCCCTCTGTTGTTATTAGAAAAACACAACCATATATATGGAGAATTATAGTACCAAACAGTATTTTCCAAGTACCATATAATCAAACAGTTACCAGAGAACGGCGTATTCTCTAGACCTTCAGAATCATGAAAATAGGGAACACAGAGATAAAAGGCTTTCAGCTTAGTCCAAACGAACTGGAGTGCAGATGCATCCGTTGCCTCGATACAATATTATTTAGCTGTCAGATAGCAGTTGTCGATCGGGGAAAAAAGCCCCCTTCCCCAATTAGCATGCCACATTGTACGTAACTTCTCAATCGGTTTTGCAAGCGTCTGCGTTGGTAGAAACTACTGAATCCGTGTACAGTAGCCTATCTCCATTGCTTCTTAGGTGGCAGTGAATACAGGCGAAGTAGAATTAAGGGCGATCGCCTCTAGTTTATACCATACAATACCGTGCATCACTCGCAAAAACGATAGGATTATCCATACGATAATGAATGTCGCAGAGAGTTGATGAGCCATATCTTGAATGGACTCGTCACGGACAGTATGATTACCTGTCAAAAATATCCCAACTCCAGTTCGCGATTCACTGGACGATTTTCACAGCATTTTTCCAAAATGAATTTCTTTCCGCCTTCTGAACACAACGTGTCGTTTTTTAAGGCCACTTCATGTAGAAAATGAATTCATTTGAGTCTGATGGTCAATTAACATGGAGTCGGGCTCGATCGTCAATATAACTATAACGAGATAATAGTATCCCACTCTATCGATCATCAAAATATGCGTTGCTGCGGTTGACAGTCTTCAAACTACCTTCAAATCACTAATGCTCAGACAGACCTGGCTTTTGAGTAGGCCGATTTTTTGGCACACAGGTGCACGAGCAGACATCGATGTGACACCTGCTACTCTATTCAGATAGCAAAAAACCTGTCCGCAAAGAGAAATCGGAACAGTGTGAAATGGCTATTGAATTCAACAAAGGTAAGGTGCAGTGACACGCGTGTCGTATGAATCTGGGAAATTGTTAGGGCAAGTCCTTGGACTCTAATAAGATGTATGTATGAGCAAACTGAACCACGTGTTCTAATGTTTGAAGCTGAATCTGAAAACCATCTACGGAACGCAATATGATCGACCCGGGAGTAGCAAATCGATTGCCGCTTCACCTGATATGAAATCATTTAACGGACGCAGCGAAACGGTAGGAAAGCTTCAACCACAAAGCATTCTTGGAAGGATCCAACGAACAGGGCATTTATCCAGTCCATAATTCATCGGTTGACTCCTTCGGAATGCTTATTTTGCAACCGAGAGATTGCAATACACAGAATATATACAGATAAACGGTTTGCTTGCCCTGGGTACATATTCGAAATATCGCTTCTGTGGCTAATTTCTAAACTTACAAAGAAGCAAAAATAGGGCTAATAGTCGCTGTAATAACGGTAATGCCTCGGTTTGGCTTTCGCTCAGAGCCTCCCCTCGTCCAGAGAACCACCAAAGTTGCACAACGTGTCTTAACGTCCGAATTTGGGTTCGAAAACACCCGGTGACAACATTATGAAAATTCCACCGCTTTCTGGATGCGGCAGTGGCATTCGGTGGATACTGGACGATTGGCGGTCGAGTCCACAACTTCAGCCCATCAGACCTCGCCTTTATGCTGGACTGACAAACGGCCCGATCTTCTGGCTAATCGCGTGCGGGATAGGCTTTGTGGCCGCAACATCGTGCCTAACTGCGAGTGGCAAAGCGGTTTCGGTGCGGGATTCCGCCTACCAGTCGCACAGCAGTAAATTTCATTATTCGGCCGTAACAAACTTGACTCTGCCTACTCGGACGTGCAAAATTCCTGAACCATTGTGTTACATTCGTTTACGTTTGCTTAAAAAACAGATACCAGTAAGCTCATCCAATCACCAATCAAATGACAAAACATGACATTCGGAGGCACACAGTGACCAGTCAATGAGAAGCATGAATAATAAAGGAAGACAATACACAAAATAAAACTGCCAAAGTGCGTACCAAGCAGCGCTGAGCCTCTTCATGGTTATGTTCGACGCGAGCTAGCTCGTTAATGGCTTGATTCACGCGTTCCGTTTCCTCCGCCTCAAATTTTCGCATTCGCTCCTGAAAAACGAATTCAAAAAATTCAATATCTAGTAGAGAGAATCACAGATCATCTTCTCCGGGAATAACAGCTTCTAATTCGTTGAAGAGCTTTTTCAATTCACGCCAATTCTCACAAAACATCACCGATTAGGATTCTCAACGGCTTTGCGTAAAGAAAAGTGTACAACCATGATGCGGTGACGATAAACCACAACAGAAACATGCAAGCAAACGGACAAGTGTCGTATATCAGACTGAACCAAACATCGCATATCAAACCATACCTGAAAACAAGAAATGGAATACAGAAAAACAAAACGCATGGAATCGGCCAAATCAAAAGCTAACGATGAAAAAATCTCCAGTGACCATCTAACACATTTCCTGCACAAACCAATCCCAATCGATACAAGCAGAACACAAAACACTGCCGACATCACGCAAAACAAGAGCAGAATCAGACATTCATCATACATCGCCAAATACTGCGATTCCAACACGTGCATCCGATATGTTCGAAGGCCTTGCAACCGAACGCCACACTCGACGTCCAGGAATAAACCATCACACAGTCTAGGCCAATGCTACAATCCACGCAACAACGTTGCTGGACGAAACATCACGGCCAAATCGAAAGCTAACGATGAAAAAATCTCCAGTGACCATCTGACACATTTCCTGCACAAACCAATCCCAATCGATACAAGCAGAACACAAAACACTGCCGACATCACGCAAAACAAGAGCAGAATCAGACATTCATCATACATCGCCAAATACTGCGATTCCAACACGTGCATCCGATATGTTCGAAGGCCTTGCAACCGAACGCCACACTCGACGTCCAGGAATAAACCATCACACAGTCTAGGCCAATGCTACAATCCACGCAACAACGTTGCTGGACGAAACATCACGGCCAAATCGAAAGCTAACGATGAAAAAATCTCCAGTGACCATCTGACACATTTCCTGCACAAACCAATCCCAATCGATACAAGCAGAACACAAAACACTGCCGACATCACGCAAAACAAGAGCAGAATCAGACATTCATCATACATCGCCAAATACTGCGATTCCAACACGTGCATCCGATATGTTCGAAGGCCTTGCAACCGAACGCCACACTCGACGTCCAGGAATAAACCATCACACAGTCTAGGCCAATGCTACAATCCACGCAACAACGTTGCTGGACGAAACATCACGGCCAAATCGAAAGCTAACGATGAAAAAATCTCCAGTGACCATCTGACACATTTCCTGCACAAACCAATCCCAATCGATACAAGCAGAACACAAAACACTGCCGACATCACGCAAAACAAGAGCAGAATCAGACATTCATCATACATCGCCAAATACTGCGATTCCAACACGTGCATCCGATATGTTCGAAGGCCTTGCAACCGAACGCCACACTCGACGTCCAGGAATAAACCATCACACAGTCTAGGCCAATGCTACAATCCACGCAACAACGTTGCTGGACGAAACATCACGGCCAAATCGAAAGCTAACGATGAAAAAATCTCCAGTGACCATCTGACACATTTCCTGCACAAACCAATCCCAATCGATACAAGCAGAACACAAAACACTGCCGACATCACGCAAAACAAGAGCAGAATCAGACATTCATCATACATCGCCAAATACTGCGATTCCAACACGTGCATCCGATATGTTCGAAGGCCTTGCAACCGAACGCCACACTCGACGTCCAGGAATAAACCATCACACAGTCTAGGCCAATGCTACAATCCACGCAACAACGTTGCTGGACGAAACATCACGGCCAAATCGAAAGCTAACGATGAAAAAATCTCCAGTGACCATCTGACACATTTCCTGCACAAACCAATCCCAATCGATACAAGCAGAACACAAAACACTGCCGACATCACGCAAAACAAGAGCAGAATCAGACATTCATCATACATCGCCAAATACTGCGATTCCAACACGTGCATCCGATATGTTCGAAGGCCTTGCAACCGAACGCCACACTCGACGTCCAGGAATAAACCATCACACAGTCTAGGCCAATGCTACAATCCACGCAACAACGTTGCTGGACGAAACATCACGGCCAAATCGAAAGCTAACGATGAAAAAATCTCCAGTGACCATCTGACACATTTCCTGCACAAACCAATCCCAATCGATACAAGCAGAACACAAAACACTGCCGACATCACGCAAAACAAGAGCAGAATCAGACATTCATCATACATCGCCAAATACTGCGATTCCAACACGTGCATCCGATATGTTCGAAGGCCTTGCAACCGAACGCCACACTCGACGTCCAGGAATAAACCATCACACAGTCTAGGCCAATGCTACAATCCACGCAACAACGTTGCTGGACGAAACATCACGGCCAAATCGAAAGCTAACGATGAAAAAATCTCCAGTGACCATCTGACACATTTCCTGCACAAACCAATCCCAATCGATACAAGCAGAACACAAAACACTGCCGACATCACGCAAAACAAGAGCAGAATCAGACATTCATCATACATCGCCAAATACTGCGATTCCAACACGTGCAACATTGAGGGCGTATTTTTCTTAACATAGGGTACGTATGTTGGAAGCGCTTGCGGTATTTGTGCTTTTAAATGCAACGTCCTTTGGATTATGGCGAGATTATAACCGAATTTCCGGCGCAATGAAGTGCTGGACAAGTTGTCCATGTGGTTTTGGGCTTCTCTAGTGAGAGTCCACCAGACCACAATAGGATAACTATTCGTTTGGTATGCTGAATAGATTTTTCACTTTACGGTTATCAATATCGCGATTCGGTGAACCGATTCGGGGTGTCAGGGATTTACAAGTGCAGGAGTAGATAATGTTAATCGAGAATTACCTTTAGACGTAACTCCGCCTCCATGGTACTATCCATGTGCCGTTGCAGTTCAGAAGTCACAGACATGACATGTTCTTCAGTCATTGTGCTATCAGACTCCAGAAACGATGCGACATCTGAGAAGCGGAGAAGGAAGCGAGTGTAGATCAATCTGACAAGTAAGGATTGGCGATGACCAGTGACCTGAACTAGATAGGAAGAGCGATGGAGGCCCTTTGAGAGCTTGAATTATAGACTGAACACCTTTAGTGCTGGAGAATGTCTATATTTCTGTTGTTTTTTTTCGTTTTCACTGTCCCATCTGATCAAACTAAGAACTATGACGCATAAGGCCTGGTGGTTTTCCAAAAGGCTGGGAGTTAGAACTACGTTGCTAAGGTTGTAAGACAGATGGGATCAACTTTGCGTCAACAGACTAAATATCGCTGAGCAACCAGAGGTGCATTAATACGTGACAATGGATAAACAAGCTGTGGGTAGTGCTGCAAGGACGCCAACGGTATTAAGTAATCAAAGGTGCTACAGAGTGGGACTACAGATTCCATTACCCCCAGCCCTGTGTAAACACAAGCAAATAGTTCAGCTAGCTATTCCTAAATTTATTCTCCCACCTCCAAAGAACTCCATATTCGTCCAACTGCATGAGATGTTTGTATCGGGACACAACTATACCTTGGGTTTTTGTAGTGACGAAACTGTGATGCGCTCAAAATGTTGATGAAGTTTGGCCACTCCATTAAAAGGACAAGAAAGGAGAGCACATCATATGAAAGCCTTGGGATACATAAGCACGCAGCAAACAAGACGGACAACAAACAACTAGAATGTAGTCACGCGACTGCCGGTCCAGTACTACCCAAGTGGACGCTTGAACATGAATTTTCAAACCTTATACGTTGATTCAAGTTACCTGTATTCTGACTTAAGTAGTTAGTAGGTGATTCTTGCACAGTGAGTGGGTCCATATTAGTTCAGTTCTGCGGTAAACACTATCTCATGCATAATGAGGAAACAAGAGGATGAAAACAAGATAAGGGATACAGACAAAGCATGAATCAATATTGAGTACCGACCTCGGGGTTACCGTGATTGGTTCTATCTAGAAGCATACGAGACTATCTCCCAATAGCCTATCAGAATAAACTGTACCGCAGGAATGCACGACGGACTACATGGTTGTCGATATGGTGGTCTTCTTCACTGCGCTTTCAAAAAGAAGAGATCTGGGGAGCTCTTCGGTGCCCGCAAGGAAAGTGCGACTGCATCTCGCGTGGTATGGAGTCATCACCCAATTGAGTCACCTTGCTTTGTATCTGACGCTGGTTACTGTTACTCACCTAGGATGAGCTAACTTATTCTCACCGTAATTTTCAACAGCTCCCAACAACCTTCATCTGTTGAGCTACTAGGAAACATCGTACCATGAGGTAACCTAGTGATATGACCACCACTTGAAGAACGACACACGCAATTCTGTATGAAAAAAAAAGGTTTTCGTAGAATACGGAGCATGCATGCATCTAATGGTACCAATGCTTGCAAAATCCATGCTAGATTGTGTCTTGGATTTGGGCAAGCTCTCTAGTTGAACAGTACCACAAAGTAAGGAACGGTTTAACTGCTTCAGAGTCGTTTTTCCTCTAAAGAGCAATTAATGTAGGCACAACCGGTTCACCTATACTGGACAGAAGTTTGGAGTCAAATCGAGGTTACGATAACAAAAAAAGATTCGTCAAAAAACTCACCTGCCAGACCACATTGCTCTACAGCGGATCGCAGTAAACTGTTTCGGTTGGATATCGTCTCCGATAAATTCTAGAAAAGATCCACACATAAAAAACAGGTAAGGGTACGAAATTGACTTGAACGACATAATAAGGATCCAAGTGCTGTATAGATCACCTTCACATGCAGCTCCAACTGTGCAATTTCCACCATCGCCTTGTTCCGCTGAGCTTCCGATTCACGCATTTTCACCCGATTCGTCTGTTCGGCCTCTTCCAACTGCATAAATAGGAGCAATGACAAGAAATATTAATTCTGGTGGTATATCAGAGCCACCAGGCACGGGACAATTAGCGACTATGCTACTAGCACACACTAGGGTCATGAGTTTTGCGGAACTAACGGACAAAGTGAAACTAAGAATCGACCTGAACATACTCAATGGTCACCTGTGGATATACAAGAGAAAGATGTAAGAGCATTACTCATTTATAAGGATTACGGATAAGCCTTTCTTTAAACTAGGATTCCACTACAATGAACGCTAGCGGAATCGGTCAGGGTTGTACCTGAAAAGGTGGACGCTATGAAGAAGGTATGTCAGAATAAAACAATTACGTCTATTCTTTACTTTCACGGCAATAGCAGTATGGCAGTCGTTGTTGCCATTATAAAAACGAAAATCCAAACTTCCCAGGGACAAATGAAACTGAGTGAGACAGAGTAAAAAGTTATCACACAAGAATGTTTGCCACAAACGGTGGGAAACTGGTGTCAACGTATCAATCAGGTTCATTGGGTTGTTACGGAAGGCCGCCTGAATAATTTTTTGAAATGCTCAGCTCACCGCCCTAGATGATCCCGCGAATGAGTTGCTATTATATCTTTTTTGCAAATCGTTTCGCATACACTCGCCTTCCTTTCGGCCAGTTAAGTAAATTAGCCTAATTATGACGCGGTTGTTGTTTTTTGCAGCCAAGGTCTTCGCCATCTCCTGAACTTTCGCAGTGTACCAGCGCTTTCTGTCACTGTTCAGATACCTGATCATCCGGCGTTCGGAAGATCTGCGTACCCCATGGCTATCGCAATGTGATAGTGTACTTTTTCTGACGTTAGAATGAGCTGCTGATCTTGACGACACCCGAAGATTAGAGCTCATCCTATGCGGTTTGAGGCGCATGATCGAGCTGGACATAGGAAAATCAGTTTCAGAAACGAAACCTTTGCTCAATTTGAGAGGGTATGGACATTGTAAACCGTATCGGAACTGGTCACCACTTCCCGCACAGTTAACATAAATAAAGATGACATTGATCAGGTATTTAGAGGTGTAATCTAGGGGGCAGCAAGACATGGGTACTTGATCAATCTCTGAGTGCATGCCGTTTTCAATCAATTGGATGAGAGGAGTAAACTTTCATTGCTATAATGTAGCCCGTTTCTACTTCACGAACGAATGATCGCTTTAAAAGATAGCCAGCGGGTTCTTACTCTGGATAGATTAAGCTGTTTTCGCTCAAGTTCCGTCCCAGAATCCTCTACCAGAGTAGACAGTTCTTCATTATTCCCTTGAAAAGATAAAAAAGTAAATAAAATGATAAGGTAGACGACGATTACAAAAGCTGCATTCCAATTTTGCTGTTAGTTCCGAAGCGATAACTCGTTCGGCTGAAAATGGTACCGACTGTTTACGTTAAAAAAGACCTCAGCTCGCAATAACTTTGATCAATCCATACTTATATCTTAGATAAGTGAACATGGCTTCAATCTGCTCAAACGAATCTTACTAAACTATAGCTAACTTCCAAATATGTTCCTAACTGAACGTGAGCGTAGTTGTTCACTTTGAGTGTATGCGAACACCAGGATCATTGGCCAGTAGACAGCCTCCAAATCTGTCCTTTTGGGTGACTTGTCAATGAATGTCAGTGTGAGGTGTGCGTACACAGAATGAACAACTGATTTTTTGTCAGTCAGTGAAAGCACGCCACTTTCGAAGCACTTCCAGATACATTTCCCCATCATTATTAGGACCTCGAAAAACAATGTTGGCCACATAAGAGGCTCGTATTTCAAAAGTTAAGCAATCTGCCCATTGTGTTCTCATCGATGAGTCACGGAGTGAAACCAGTGACGTCAGTATCAGACAAGTCCATGGGAATGAGGTGTTCGTAAGCATCTCAAGTTTATAATTCGCACAGGTTTTTCAGAGTTGCAGATCAGCTGGTCGGGTTCCAGTCAACTCCGTAACCAAAACCAGCTTGAATCGCACCAGAGGTGGCCAGTAAGGTGTGTTCTTTGTGTGACATTACTGGTTTTAGCCAGATGTAACGCGGATAGGCTAACCTAAACTCTGACTTCAAAAGAAAATTGAGCAAGCTCTGAAACGGCTCAGTGCAAGAGCGCAAAATTACTGACCGGAAGGTTCGTAGTTCGTACCCTATCTCAGCCTCTCAACTTCCTCTGTCTAGGCTTAGGCAACCTGGCAGTATCCCAGCCCTCGTGCTTCCTCCAGGTGGCATGGCAGCTAGGCACCGAAAGGGTGCTGCAGCTGAACGATTTTTTGAACGATTTGATTAACCAGTCACAGTCAGCGTGAATTAACTGAATCACTATCACTCTCTTACCCATATCCAGATTCAAGAACAAGGACAAAATTGTTTACATTCGTAGTTTTGCATCAACTGGCTAGCTGACACATGGGCGACGAGGAATTTTAGCGAAGAAACGAACTCATTACAAGAGGCTTCCCTGTCCCCTCGACTACGCATAATGGCATAGAATACCCATTTAAACCAAGGGTAGAAACCAAAAAATAGGCTAGGCAGGAAGAGTAACATACCATCGAATTCTTCTTTTATATTGGCTCGAAGATTACTAATAGCCTCTTCCAAATGAGCTTTCTCGGCTTCATGTGATTCTGAAGAAAAAATGAGGCTGTAACAGACCATCCAACTAGGTCCACTCACTTAGTTGAGCTTGCAGTTGAATAAGTTCAGCGTACTTCTGTTTGTACAAATTAAGTTGTTCCTGAAATGATATTGATGAGGTAATATAAACAAGATGGCCACCGTAGAGGGAGGAATATTGAGCAACTACACAAAAACTGAGCACTTACAACGATGGGATTGAGTTTTGCTGTCACGCTAGCAAGTAACTGTTCTTGTTTTTCTATTGAATGCTGTAGTTCTTCCCGTTCACACCGAATCTAGAGGAGAGAATCGGAGCATGCTGAAAACGGGTAAAAGCATCCAAGTAATACAGTAACAGTAATCAGTTTCGGGATGGCTTGAAAATAGTCGCTTTCTATACAAAGGCCCTTGATCATAGGAAGTTGGGTCTGTATCAAGTAGTCACACAGGACAGAGTAAGGAGGTACTAAATCTGAGTGAAGCATGGGGTAGGTCGATTAAATATCTAATTATGTGAGGCTTACTGAAATGTGGGCTAGATCTATCATTTTGATGATTTATCACACTAAGTTGATCCATAGTGGAAGAATCACGCTGACATGTAGTCCCAACTACCTAGATTTTAGAATACCATCTTCATATAAGCCTACACGAGCTTCATTTGATTGCACGGCCTGAGTCCAAAGCTTCTTTGTCAGTGACCAAGTTCCCACTTAATCCTCAATGCACTGTTTGTATAGACAGTAAGTCCAGTAAGATGTGACGATACTCTTTGCTTCTAAGGCGTTTGCCACTAGATTTACATGAGACTGTGCGTCAGTGCATACTGCTGTGTCTTTGATGCCAATCAGTCATAGCTAGCAAAATATGGGTCGATACTGTCATCAATATCATGTAACATGGAGCTAAAAGGTTTAAAAATGGTTTTCCAGCTCAGTTTTTTTTAATCAAGATCAGAAACACTGTTGATAAACTAGTACTGAAATTGAAAGAACCCTTACTGGAGGAAAACTGGATTAGAAGAATGCAGTTTGTGACCTCCATTAAAGATGTTGGATGTTATGTGAGGGGAGCAGAGCAGCTAACAGAGCGGCTATGGAAATATATAGAACTAAAAGCAGTCCAATGGTAAGTTGAAATTTAAAAATCGTTCGGCCTATNTGGAGGAAAACTGGATTAGAAGAATGCAGTTTGTGACCTCCATTAAAGATGTTGGATGTTATGTGAGGGGAGCAGAGCAGCTAACAGAGCGGCTATGGAAATATATAGAACTAAAAGCAGTCCAATGGTAAGTTGAAATTTAAAAAATCGTTCGGCTATAGCACCCTTTCAGTGCTTAGCTGCCGTGCTACCTGGAGTAAGCACGAGGGCTGGGATACTGCCAGGTTGCCCAAGCCTAGACAAGGGAAGTCGAGAGGCAGAGGTCGGGTTCGAACCACGGACCTTCCGGTCAGTAAATTCGCGCTCTAACCACTGAGTCGTCTCACGCCCAACGGTATGTTGAATAAGAAGTGAATGTTGGCCACCGACAAGAACGATCAAATGCGCAAGCGCCAGGGAAAACTGAACCTCTGGTAGGTAACCGGAACGGGCTTGCATTGGATAGATATGCTCATGTGTAAACGCGGGTACATACCAGCTACCTAATAACAACTTACTTCGAACATTACTAATGAAACAAACAGTGACATGTGCAAAAACACGTACCTTTGCGGCTTCGTCACGACTTTTGCTCAGATGTTTCAGCTCTGCTTTGTACACTTTGATCGTAGTATCCTGACAGTGAAAAATAAGGTCAACTTCGAAAGAGACGCACCTTTTCCTGTTTGCACTTTCGCATGGCGTCCAGAGCCTTCACATAGCGCGAAGAAGCGAACAGGTCGTCAAAACGTTGTTTTACAGACTTGGCCTCTTGAAGTGGCCTGAAAACAGATAAGCATTAATATCGTAGACCTCCCCTGTAAACGAGAGAGTATTAATGAGGAAAAGTAGGTCTGCGGTGAACAAGAGCAATCAATGTGCACGGAGATTATCCGTGGTCAATGATGTGGGCTTTAATGAGCTCAGGCGTATCAATGATGCCCCAAGCATGTTGTTCATAACAGGAACCGGCAAGCGGTTGAACTCATGGATAACAGTACACACTAGAGTTTGTTTGAAGCGCCAGCATTGTCAGTCTGGGCTGGCGAAAACTTGTTGCTAAACACTAATTGAAAACTTCAGCACCGAAACAGGACAATAGTCCTCACATCATTTTCGAGTGTATAATAGTAGTGGTACTGGAAGCCATTCAGTTGTAGCACCATCTCGGTGCACAGCGAACGCACAACGCGGAGGCACGCGGGCCGGGATACCATCGGTTGTCTAAGCCTTGATAGCAGCGATTGAGAAGTCAAGGTTAGACTGGGGCCACAAACCTTCCGGTTAGTAGCTGCGGGCTACACCGAGGCCAGTCACAATCATTCCCGAAGTCTACGACTGATTAATACAATACCACTTCTGGGCATGAGGGTAGCCGCTCATATGAGCCCGTTGTTAAGGTGAGCAGAACATCAAGAAAGAGGAGAGTGTCAGTGAGAATGGTTAGGTGGATGAGGTACCGTTATAAGCGAACAAGCTTATATTCAAGTTAGATCAACGCTTCGTTTGAGAACGCAGAAAAACCCACCAGTTAGAATCCTCTTGGTGACAAAATATCACATTTTCCAGCACGGCTTTGGAGACACCAAGACTGGTAACCATCTGGAACGGGGACAAATCATTGTATGGCTGGCTTATTGTTAGCTTGCAAAAGCACTTAAATGATTGCCAGATATGTAGAAAACAAAAGGACTTTAAGTTTTCATATAATATATTGTGTCGCACGTAAAGCCAACCTAAGCTTGAAGGCTAATCACGAATCTCTGATATTCGAACCCGCGAGCTTCTGGCTAATACCTGATGGCTAATCCATGAGACCATGACAGGCTGATCTATCGTGTGAGTAGCTCGCTCTTAGACAGGTTACCATCTTTCAATCACACATTTCACTCAACCTGATCAGACAACACTTGCTTCCTTGAGTGACGACCTCTCAAATGGACAGTCCATGTAAATTATGGGTCTCCTTTCATCGGTAGAAAACTTAGCTTTCGGACAGACAATTAGCTGAACCTAGATACCCCGGTTCCTACGGTAGTTAGACATCCTACCCGATATAATGACCGGCCACAAGCAGCTCAGAGATACTGAGTAGCGGACTCTGTTAGCATTTCAACGAGGGCACAGTTGGTTAAGAATGATCGTGAAAAGACTGGGAACAATCCAAGAATGTTGGTATGTTAGTAACATAGGGAACACTGAAGTTGGAGCTCAATACCAAATTGTGATGTAGGACCAACTATCATAACCTAATGACGGTTTCCTCAAAGGGCCACACAAGGCAAAAAGCAATCGCTTGTGTCACCATCTTCATTAGGTGCTCTTTGATGTTTTTATATCGGAGATGGACTACCTGAATTTGGATCGAAGAGAAGTCACAGAGTTTCAATCCAACTGTAACGTCAGTTCATTTTGGGGTGTCATGATCGAAATGAGCCACATAGAAGCAATCAGCACGAATAAAACTGCTGGAAAAACGCTCGACCGTCTGTAAAAAGGGATAGTGTCCCTATGGTCAGATGTCCCCTCTCCCCCAACGAGTCACCGTCCAGAAGGTCGTTAAAACAACAAAGCGACAGGTAGTCCTGCGGTACCCCGAGCAAAAATGCCAATAACAGCTCGAGGCAGTTCTAAGCACTAAGTGTGACCAAGCCACACCAGGTTAGCAGTAAGCGGAGTCCATTACAGTGAACTGGTATAAATCCTCATTTGTCACAAGACTCAAGCTGAGGCTAAAAATTCCCAGCCGACTAAAGTTCCATAAAAATGTGAAACAAACGATGAGCGACCGATTTACTTCATTCATTGGAGTAGGATATCAACATGGTCATTCTGTGCGGGTGATATGAGTACAGGAGGAATATACTGTACTCTGTATCACACTTATGGCCTGCATGTTAGCGTGGGGACGATAGCGATGCATAGCAATCAAGAAAGTTCGCTCACCTCTTGATCAATTTCCGCGCACTTAGAACTGATACTGGTTATGCTGCCGTCAGGAAGCTGACGTTTGATAGACCCATCAAGTGTTTTCAGAGTGCCTTGCTTGGCCTGTTGGAAGGAGAGTCGAAAAATGTAATGACAGAAACGTGCAGATGTGTGGGAAACTAAGGTAGGTGCTGCTGAGAAAACGTTTTATAGCAAACTCCCCGAAACCTCATCACATTCTTCTGTTCATTAATAGTTGATCAAATGACTCTCTATCTGTTCGCCAAGCTTGGCAAATGGACTGCTGGCAACTTGCGAACAGATCAACAGCCACTTGATCAGCAACCAATGAATGAACTGCCAATATTCCAATACATTTCCAACTCTTCTGTACACCAACGGGCTGACGCCATGCCAGGGCCATAAGCAGCTGAATTGAGAGGAAGCCGAACCGATCATGACAATCACTCTGTGGGCAATAATGGGAGAAAAATGATAGAGCTACATGGGTGGGTATGTTTACTAACTAATTCGAATGGTCGGATTGCAACCAATAAGCTAAGCAAAATTTGATGAACGGCTTTGTATTTTTGAGGGTGTGAAAAGCATCACAAAACCAGATGGCCTAAAGTATTTCATCTATTTTCTTCATCTTATTACAACCCGCAGCTCGACATTATCTGCATACCGTAAATCAGTAAGGGAACCATTTGGCTCTCGAGGTAGCAAACGTTGAAGCGATCCTTCCAGTTCTTTCAATTCCGAAGTTGGAAAGTGAAACAGAGTGCAACTCTGTTGGATGAAAATTTTCATAACGAACACGCGAGAGGATATTCCACGATCTCTGAGCGTTCATGTGTGTTAAGGCGAAGAAGTGGAATCTGAGGTTAATGGAATAAGAAATTGAATGCCGTTTATCTGGCACTTGTTGCCCTTCCCGGACACAGTGTAGTCGATGCGCAAGCGCTTCGCCATTGAAATCGCACATAGCTGGCGCGATGTCAACTCTGGGTCAACTGTGAAATATCTGTGCTTTCCACCTGTCGAAGATTCCAAATTTCTCGGCAGGAACTAGACTTTACCGGGATTCGTTAGAGCATATGAAGAAACCACGAGAAATTGAAGTAATTTCGCATGTTGATGGCGTACTTTGATTGCTTTGGATAGTCTCACGGTGTACTCCTGCTGTGGATAGAAATCCAGTAAAACAGTGTCTTCTCACGCGATGGGTAACATGAGATCACTAGGTACCCGAATAGTTCACCGGAGCTGTTTGGGGATTTATCGCCACAGTGGAGTCTTGTAAGCGTGTGTGTCCTACAGCAAAATTCAACTTTCAAGAAAAGAAATTTTGCTCACTTATTAGACGTGAAATAAGAGCACAAACACAAGATGCTTGTTAATGAGTATCTCGCCTGTGAGGTACTTTAACTGAAATTGCTGCATAAGTCACGATACTCAAGAACACACTTATGTTCTAATTGGACACCAAAGTGAACAGAAGTAAGGAAATGTTTCATTAGCAAATTGCATTGGAGATCCGGGTAAACCTTTCGTTAACACTGCTGTAATTCGCAAATAAGTGTACTTCGTCAGTTACACACAATTTGATGTTCAAATAGTAGTTGCTGGAAATCCGGGGACTATGTCTGCAATGACAAGCCCCAAGATGGGCGAAGCCGGTAGTGGGTTTTCGAATGGTGTTCAGCAACTTAACGAGTGGCGTGTTCTGCCGAGAGAAAACGTGTTTATTGTTTATGGGGTAAGGGCTAAGCGACGTAAAATGTAATTGCATCGATGGGTTTGTATGAAGAAGCGGTTGAAAGATATGAAAACAAGGCCTAACCGTTAGTTTCGCCTGTTTTGTGACGGTAAATGATACTTGTCCAGGTCAAAGACCGGAATTTGTTTGAGACTCCAATTTGACCTTTTGACTCGAAAGTCTGACCCGCAAGACAGCGGAAGGATACGGACGTTGTCACGGTAGTAACAACTCTAGACTTTGGGGCTTAGTAACAGGACAACGGTCGATAGGGTTTTCTTGGAGAGAGAAGGAGCTTTTCATAGGTGAATCAGATGCAGCTGAGATATAGACATAGATCAGGATCTCTTAGGATTAACGTTAACAATAAGTGATGACTGAACTCGAAGTATAGGTAGCCTCACAGAACCCACCTTATCTCGTTGCGTAGCGACCAACGCTCTGGAGACAATCATTGGCTGACCGCGAACATCCTTAATTTGAAGAGTGACTTTGGCTTTCACTTCCGTTTCCCGGGCGATCTACAAAGCAGGGCGTTGACAAGATCAAACTAACTTGAACCTGTTGAATATGGCCATACAGATGCGGGGCAGGAGAAGCTGAGTAAATGGACCCCAAAAGATCTCTGCCTCATCTGCTCCCATAATAACAACATAAAAAATAGTAACGACAGCAACAAGCAATATTGGGCAACACCTCAATGCATCATAGTCATGATTCACAACCATACACAAGCACCGAACACAGTTCAGTGCCTTTGGCCAACTGACTAATTTAATTACATCAGATTTTTACTCTTTTCCAGAGGTCAGCCACATGTCTCGTGTCCAACGGTGAGAAAATTCATAAACATTTGGGTGTGGTCCGGTGTCCAAACAGGTTTTTCGTTCAGGAAGAACATGTCATGGTGCATGAGGCACTGAACATTATGTGTGCAACAACACACCACTTTTTAGTAACGGGAAACAGAAATAGGCTGGTTTTCGAGACAAACTGTGCGGGACTGTTGTGAGCCTCGAGCTAGACACATAAAAGTTGGTTACTGGCTAGAATATCGTCGTGCGTGGGGCACGTGAACGCACTCGAAAGCGGAACGACCGTTCCCCCGTTTTACTCGATTCGACCTGGTCAAACCTTCTTCAGGGAAATGAAGAATATGTACACGTTGGTGTAGAAACATTCATAGCTGGTTTATGGAACTTTAATTCCAACACCTTGTTCGACCGCATATGGGCATTGCCCAGGGGTGGTGCGGTGAGTGTAATAAGCCTCTGTTTGGAGATTTCGAGCGACCACGTCCGTTAAAATATGAATAAATATACCTTAATCACTGGTATAAGTGCAACACAGTCAAATTTGACCTTGATATTCCGGTCACTGTGGGGATAGACTTCTCTCAATATTTTGTTGCCCTGAAACTTGGAAATTACCTACCAAACATGTCACAGTCAGTTAAAAGGCTCGTCACTTCTCCTCTGATTAGTTCAGTGAAACACTGAGTTTCTTGATCCACCTAGCAAGAACCATGATATGGCACAATTAACCTCGCCAGTCATCTATGTAGAACATGTTCGATGTTCAGGGTACGGTAGCAACAATCAGAAAAGATGCGCAAAAACTTCGAGAAGAGGAAGGGGTAATCCAGAATCGGCTTCCAGGTAGATAGATGTTTGAGTCAGTAGCTTTTGGACACATGTAACAGTATAATTAGACGGAGACAAGAATGTGAACCGAACCGATCAGACTTTACTGGTTCACACGCCATCAATTTTAGCTCAAAAACACATTCTCTAAATTCGAAAAAAACCTACTTATAATTACCGGGGGTCTAACACGTGATCTGAAGTTAGATTAGTAAGTTACTGGAAGTAAGTAAAGTAAAGTAAATACAGGATACACAGGAACGCATTCCATCTCAAGACATACAGCTAAATACGATCAGCTACAGAAAGGGATAGTCTCTAAACAGGTCTTCCGTTTGCAAATAACTCAACAAAATAGAAATTGTACTGCGAAGCTTCCAACAATAGCACTTGGGATCCCATTGAGAGGGAAGGCACATACCCGTGGATCGTGGATGAACGAACAACCCGTTTTTGAACCCGGAGGAAGATCTCCCGTTGTAGAGTACTTCAGGCACTCGATGATAGTCTGGTGAATAAAAATAACAGGAAGTAACGAACGGTGACAAGATAAGCATGTTTAAAATTGATGCGATATACAAGTCATCGGGGTGTACTAGAATTCGGAGTCTATACACTTCTGACTTTCAACTTGGGAGAAGCAGCCGACTAGCCTACGCGCGTTTGACGAACCAGTTCGGACCAATAACCTCCACAGGAATAAGCTTCCAGCTACAGATCTGTGACGTCGCCATACTTCGGGATCGCACACCAAACAACACGAATCAGTAAGTATTGAGGTAGGGCCAAACTAATTTGACGAAAGCCTGGGTTATGTCAATGACAGACAGGTAAAAAAAGCAGTCTGGCCTCTATGGCATCAGGTACTCCGTCTAGAAGATTTGGTGATGCTTGTGTTTGAGTTATGTTGAAAAAGACAGGATTCAGAGATGAAACAAATGTGAACGACAGAAAGGTTCCAACGTCTGCCGTTGCTGAGCCGACTAATCTTCGTTCACTAGTTATGTGGAGTGCTCTTGCTCCTCATGCTACCTGTGCAACCCAATCTGTCGTTCAGCACACAGGTTATCCAGGGGTATTCCAAGACTTATCAAAACCTTTCTGTACTGCAAAGCTCATACTCTCCGAATGGGGACACGTCTGAGGTCAGCTTTTTTTCGATGGAGCTGCCCCGTGCCCCGTTGTTTTGAAGAAGGCTGTGTGTTTCAAAGTAATGCCATCAGGCGATGACAAAGAGAGTCAGAACCCAAACCTACATTTTATACGTAATACGTTATACGGTGGTTCTTCAAGTAAAACAATCTAGCTGACGGGTTCTGTGGGATTCTGTTCAAGCAGAAGCGTCCTAAGATATCATTGGGGGACCAATATCATTGTATGGGCGGTTACCGTCACCATTAGCTGCACCTCAAATTGGGAGTTCTCAACAGCATTCGAACCACAAGTTTTCAAAAGGATACTGTCCACCTTCACCTTACCCTAGAGATTAACGCGGTTGTTTGTGTATGCTAGGATATATACGCAAAAAAACAGTTTGAGTGAACAGGCCGTCCTCCGAACAAACCAACTCTCTTCGAAGGCAGCCTATCTCTTATCGCGCAAATAAGTTTCAGATCGAGATTCAGTTCCTTTTTAAGAGCTGTCGCTCTTGATGGACAAAAATAGGTGTATCTGTAGTGCTTTATAGCATGGGAACCGTAGCGAACGAACAAAAGAAGCACAAATTGATGGTATGTATATGCTATATCTGGCCAAGTTGGCAGGCGGGTTTATTTGACGAATAGCTGGTCATTGTGGCGGGTGACAAATCTGCCCGTTGCAGACTGACACTCAAATTACCCGGTTTACAAGTTGGACAGTGACAATTCGGATCTGGTTATTTGTTTGGAACTTGAACATATGGGAAAAAACACATGTAAATTACCAACAACTTACAGTCTTGCCCGTCCCGTTCGGACCGAGGATAAGAGTTACAGGGGTGAAAAACTCAATCTTCTGGGGCGTTTCATGCCCAAAACTACGGATCCCAAGGATACTCATTCTTTCTACTAGAGCCATTATTACTGAAGAACCTGGAATTGAAAACCGGAAACCATAAATCACTTAACTTGGGTTACTCTACCAATGTGGTATCGAAGGTGCTTTCTGCTCCTATCCTTCGAAAGCCAACTTAACACAAGGAGAGGCAGATCCTTGAAAAACAAGCGGAGTTCCGTCCTAAAAGAGGGTACATCAGTCACATTTTCGCTGTCCCACAAGTTCTGGAACAAGGAACCTGCTTCCAACAGCCAACAATGATGGTTCTCCTGAACTTGAAAGCCATCTCTGATTTTGTGGAACGCCATACAATATGCCAGCATCTAGAGAGCAAACGTGTCCCCAATAAATTCTTCACCCTCCATAAAGCACTGTATGCCAAGTCTCTGGAACATATAAAGGTCTGTGGGAAGCTCTCGCTCAAGTTCAATACACCAAGTGGTGTCAGGCAAGACTGGTCACTTCAACTTCGCCATTCACAGAAGGCTCACTTCCAGCCTCTAATGCTTGCGGAGTTCAAATGGTCCCAGGGCTTTCGCACACAGATGTCGCGTACGCAAATGACAGATCTCTTAATGGATCCGATGTTATCCTAATGAAGACGACATTAAACAATCTAGATGATTCTGCCTCACGGTTTGGTATGCAATTCACAATTACAAAGTGTAGAGTGCTACTGCAGGACTGGGTGGGCTCGAACCCTAATCTTATGTTTGCGGACGAGCCGACTGAGATAGCAGAAAGATTTTTCTACCAGGGTAGCCATATCAGTCCCACTGGTCTCGCGAAAGATATTTCCATCCGGATTGTGAAGGCCACAGCAGCTTTCGTGACCCTGCATCACCTATAGCGTCGGTGTGACATCACCTTATCCATCAAGGGTCGAGTTTACAATTCTATGCTGAGCTCTGTATTGTTTTATGGGTCAGAAACGTGGCTGTTGAGGGCGTTAAAAACTTTCAGCTATCGATGTCTTCGGCATATTGCCCGAGCCTAAGGGGAACAGCGGATCAGTAATGCTAAAGCACGTTGAATGGTTTTCAGAAGAAATAACTTGCCCACGATAGATTAACCTGTCGTACTCCATAGACGGCGCTGGCTCGGTCGCATCTTCCATGTGCCAGTCGGTCGACTTCCTCCAAGGACCTTATTCGCACAACCACGCGAAGGAGGGATACGAGCCAGGGAAGGTCAAGTATTGACTTGGCAACGAAGTATGAAACCCATTACAAGCGAACTCAGGCGCGCTGGTCATTGTACCCCAGGACAGGGACCCTGAGACGGGATACTTCAGTTGTTAGAGACATTGTCAAGTATGGCTCAGTCGTGCGCTCAGTGGCACGGCACCATCCAAGCTGTTGCCTTCAATGCATAGCTTTTCTCCCAGTCTCTCCAGTGAGAAGTTCACTGGCACCCCTGTATTCATTCATCAACTATATCAGCTAAAGCGTCCAATGGGCAATCCTCTAATCTTTCGCCCTCGATGATCAGTGGCGAACGAAAATGTGGCAGCTATAACCACAACACGGTAAGTTGGCAGGTTTTACGGATGACGATGGTGTGTCCCGTTTGGCGCTATGAACCACCGTTCTTCTATTGCGAGAGAGACTGGAGCATTCTTGCATGGAAGGCTCGTTGAAAAATTCCAAAACGTAACAACACACCAACATCCTTTCTCTCCCTGGTGATTCACGCGCCATTGATCAGAAACATTGAGGCACGCTGAGAACGATTTCGTAGCGTACGATTCCGTGAGATGATCGTTCCGAGTGATAATTCTACAGTGAGACATTTTGAGACAGGAAATGCGAATTTACCGTATAGAGTTAACTAGATATTTTGTATACACGTAATACACTACTTATAAGGTTGCTAAAAACTCTTCGTCATGATAAACGAGAGATTAAACTGGGTTCCAGGAGAGTTTCCCGTCCAAACCAAATTGATATGCAAATGAGTGTGTCGAAAACTAGGTACTATCCGGATTTCGCTCAGGATAGCGTTTCAAGCCCATCCCTGAAAAGAGATCTACAAGATATTAGAGTGAAGCACGGAGCTGAGGTGTCATTCAGCCTAGTGGCTGTCCAAAATCACTATTGACACAGGAAACAAATCAATCACATTAGTGTCAGGTGCTGGTAGTGTAACTCCACCGTAAAACGCGCGCTACTCCCCAGAATGAGAGGGAAAAAGAGTGAGTGAGTGAGGAGACCTAGTGCTGGCCTATGTCAAGCATTCCGAGGTGCCTACACCTCCAACCGCTCAATCAGACAATCTGGAAA